AGAGCACACTGTGCTCACAGGGAAGGTGGGGGCTGGAGCTATTGGAGCTACAACGAGCCGTTAAAGGCAGAGAGTGAAATTCAGTGAATACACGTAGTTTACAGAGATGCTGTGTGAGAAACCAATGTGAGTTTGGAAAATTGTACGATATAAATCTATTCTAGTAGACCTCAACAATGGAATTATGATCAGTGGAAATGGCCATGACATGGGACCTTTAAATGCTTTCCATGTATTGTCAAATGTTTTTTGAAATTTCCAATCCATCTCCCTAACTGGATGTTTTCTTGATCAGTTGAATTAGGCAAAAACTTTGCCCTTTTAAATAAAGACCTTGAGAAAACACAAAAGGTGTAATATATTATTACAAAAGGGGAACATATATATGATTATAGTGAACAGTTCCTCAAGGATCAATCTTAAGGTTCTTATTTCATCCATGTTAAGGATCTTGGCTTTTTCTTTACATTTTGTATTACCAGGTTATGATTAGCATCAATTAAATCATATCAAAATACTCCTTTTTCGTATTCTTCTTGTGTACAGTTAGCGATTTTTGGAACAGTTCCAATTCGACATTGAGTTTTTCCCTTCTTTTTTTTAAACCATGAAAGTATAAAGCGAACATTTACACCTTTTTTCTTTCTACACAAGGAAACAAATATTTCCCAATCCATATCGAGAGGCACTAGCAGGGAGGTGTGACTCGGGGGAATTTGTATTCTGCTCGGTTACTGTTTGGTAAAGGCCACCTCACTCCACGAGAGCTTTCTATGGAATTTATTATCCATAGAAAAATATGTTTTTCAGAGTGGACGAGGAGGGACACGGTCAATTATTAGTAAAGATTACATTTCCTAGACTGCTCACTCTTGAGTCATTCAGAAATTCAGCAAACAGAAACCAGAGCATTTTCTTTTTAGTATGCAGTCTTATGTAAGCAAGTACAATGTCGAACTTAATGACCAATAAAACAATTACTTTCTTTTACTAACCACAGAGAGCATGGCTGTGTCTTCAGTATCTAATGATACAATTATGTCTTAGAAATAAAAGCCATTTCTGTACAGCTGGTGGGGAATTGTATTTTTTCGTGAGAAGATTATATCTTATTTTATTAATTTGCCCAAAAAATACAAGACAAAAAAATAGGAGAGTATAAATATTGACTATGGTCATGAGACCCAGTTAAAGAATCCACTCCAGTTATTATTATAACTTGGGCTGGCCAAAGAGTGTGCGTGCTATATTCCAGCATCTTCGTCCATTTGACGGTTGTTAAATTTAGAGCTAAGATGATATAAAAAAATAATAAATCTGTGTATTTTTAAATCACATTAAAGATTTGGCTGGTATGATTCAAGAGTTCCCAGACCTTCTGACACATCAAATGGACGGACTTCCCATGCCCACTTCCCTCAAATGTATGCACCTGCATGGTTTGAGACACAAATCAAGCATTCATTTTGTCAATTTTAACGTAACCTTCGAGGATTTCCAAGAGCAAGAATTTATTTTGGCAATTATATATAACTGTTGTCTCATTTTCAGCAACAACGTGATAATAACCGTGCAGTATGCTGTGCAGTGTCTGTTACTTTCTTCTTCAGCCATAACAACTCTATAAAGAACAGTTTAGCGACTGCAAATACGGTCAAAGGCACATCTAAAGTTTGAGAAACACTCATTTGGGCTTAACTTTGAGCGCTTGATTTTCTTTTTTTTGTGTGCAAAACAAAACACACTCCATTCTCCTGTACTGACAGCTGGTACCATGTCCCACACACTCTGCACCATCTGTTAGCCATGTCATCAGGACAGGACAAGATGTAAGTGTGGATGATTCAATGTGCCGTCCACGCCTGTCCTACAGGAAAACACAGCTGATGAGAATCTTTTAACTCCTGCATTTCCTGGAATAAAGATCGATCGTATCAGTGAAATCCCCTTATCATTACTCTGCTGTGGTTGCAGACAATAATAGGTCTGGGTGGCAGCCATTTATTTGTCTGTGCAGCTCTACTTTGACTCACTGTCATCACTGTGGGCTTGAGCTAGACCAGAACCGGTGTTTCAACGCAGCACACTGCACCATTTTCAATAAGCAACCGCAATGGATCGTGGTTGATCAAACTAGATACAGATCTATACTGAAAGGCCTTGATGCAGATAGCGCGGATCTCCTCAGGACACCCTCGCCTATATAGCCTTCAAATATTACACATGTGCCGTGAAGCTCAAACATATGGATTGGTCTTTTGATACAATCCTCTACAGCGGAAACTACTGCCAATTAAATGTTTCCCTAGTTAACTTCTCAATTTGAATTTGCTGATTGTCTTTCTCTTATGTGATAATGAACTAAATATATTATGGATTTGATCCGTCAAACAAAACAACCAATGTAGAAACAGCATCTAGGTCTTTGTGGAAAATGCTCCCACAATATCTTAGTTTGCTGATGTTTTATAAATGTATAGACTCAAAGCTTGTTGTGTAAAATCCCGAGCATTACATAACCTCCTTTAAGGGTAAATTGAACTCAGCGCATAAAGAATCTATATATACAAACTCATTAATTGTTAAAACATCAGAGAGCTGCAGAGTCAGAAATAAAGCTCTTTAATAGTGCGAGGCTGGAGGGTGTCCTCAAGAATAAAGCACAAAAACTAAATCTTCAAAAAGAAAGCTGACAGTGCTGGGAATACTGTGAGAAGCCGCGTGACTGTCTGGTATAACTCTGATTAAATGAAATTATACGCAGGTGACAAAATCAGCATTGGGACCAGTCAACAGAAGCTTAGTGTGCAGCTTCCTTTGGGATATTTCTAACAAAAATAAAGGCTTTTAGGTTTTGGCCCTGAACCGTTTATAAGCATATACTGCATCCTTTTGCATCATGGGGCACAAACCAATGTAAGGGTAGTATCTTCGGGGAAAAATACAAAATAAACTTTTTCTCTCTAATTTATTGCTATAAGCTGGGCGTACTATCATTGGGAAAGAACATTTTTAGCCTGAATTCTTATTGTTTTGCAGACACACTAAGTGTTTCGCAGACTGAAGACAGCCCTCCAGAAACCTAAATATCTTGTCATTACACACCACTTAGGGCTGCTCCCAAGACAGAACGCAGGTCTTGTTTTCGAGCTGATCTGAAACCAGACCGGACCGAGAGGAGAGGCTGCATCTTTTCCACCATCTTCCCTCCTTGTGACCCATCTGGTTTCTGACTTTGAAAACACTTTTTTGTTTAACAAATTTAGTCAGACAGGTCTGTGCCACAACGATTGACGATGTTCTGCAGTTGTTCTGTACGAGCGCCTGAAGCCTACTGTTCCTGTTCCGTTATGAGTCATTGTGAAACCCAGTGGGGCTTACCTCTCTGTTCAATAACTGCAAAAATGCATTAAGCAATGTCAGGTCGCTGTGATTCAAAAGGATTTAACAGATTTTTAGGACAGTTAGAAGAAATGATTGTAGAACTTTTTTTCAAAAACTGAATATACTTATGTATCCTCTTATAATTAATCAAATAATACATTTGATGCAATACATCCTAGCTGAAAAAAAG